CAACCAATCAGATTTTGAGTTGGTGTCACCAGGAATTTAAACAGAGAACGACAACGACACCGGATTAAAGAGCCGTGATTGGACAGAGAGAACCAGACAAAACAGCAAACTGGATCTGTAGCGGAACCAGGTCGAAACCAGGTCTAAACCAGGTCTAAATCAGGACTAATCTTGGACTTGAGAGAGAGTGAGCGAGTGTCTGCAAAGCACGTTCGGGCGACAGCTGCACTGAGTCTTGTGCGGCGTGGAGCTCTGGCACGGTCCTTTCCTCTGTGGTCACTCGACAGTCTACGCAGGTGCACCTTTGGGCCCGTCCTGACAAACAGTCCTGGTTTAGCTCTGGTTTAGTTCTGGTTCAGCCCCAGCGCTCCTCACTTCTCTGTGCACAGAATCTCCACGGCTCTTTATTCTGTGTTTCTGTAGAATAAGACGCTTTTATGACCATAAAATATTTCTTGAGGATTGTTTCAGACGGAGCTCGACTGAAGGTCTCAGTCTGAAATGCTCCAACACTGAGTATGATGTAGTTTATAATCACCCTGCTCACCCTGACCTCTACACCCTGTCCACCCTCTTCACCCTGTCCACCCTCTACACCCTGTCCACCCTGTCACACCCTGCCTCTCACCCCTTCACCCTGTCCACCCTCTTCACCCTGTCCACCCTCTACACCCTGTCCACCCTCTTCACCCTTCACCCTGTCCACCCTGCTCCACCCTGTCACCTGTCCACCCTCTACACCCCTGTCCACCCTCTACACCCTGTCCACACCCTCTTCACCCTGTCCACCTCTTCACCCTCTTCACCCCTGTCACCCTGTCCACCCTGTCACCCTCTTCCACCCTGTCCACCCTCTACACCCTGTCCACCCTCTACACCCTGTCCACCCTGTCCACCCTCTTCACCCTGTCCACCCTCTTCACCCTGTCCACCCTCTTCACCCTGTCCACCCTCTTCACCCTGTCCACCCTCTTCACCCTCTTCACCCTGTCCACCCCCACCCCTACACCCTGTCACACACCCTGTCCACCCTCCACCCTCTTCACCCTGTCCACCCTCTTCACCCTCCACCCTCTTCACCCTGTCCACCCTCTACACCCTGTCCACCCTCTTCACCCTGTCCACCCTGTCCACCCTGTCCACCCTGTCCACCCTTCCTGTCCACCCTCCTACACCCTGTCCACCCTCTTCACCCTGTCCACCCTCACCCTACCCTTCACCCTGTTCCACCCTCTCCACCCTGTCCACCCCTCTTCACCCTGTCACCCTGTCACCCTCTTCACCCTTCACCCTGTCCACCCTCTCACCCTGTCCACCCTCTTCACCCTGTCCACCCTGTCCACCAACCCCCTTCACCCTGTCCACCCTCTTCCCTGTCCACCTCTGTCCACCCTCTCACCCTGTCCACCACCCTGTACACCCTGTCCACCCTCTTCACCCTGTCCACCCTCTTCACCCTGTCCACCCTGTCCACCCTCTACACCCTGTCCACCCTCTTCACCCTGTCCACCCTCTTCACCCTGTCCACCCTCTTCACCCTGTCCACCCTCTACACCCTGTCCACCCTGTTCACCACCCTTCCACCCTGTCTCACACCCTCTTCACCCTGTCCACCCTGTCCACCCTCTTCACCCTGTCCACCCTCTTCACACCTGTCCACCCTCAACACCCTGTCCACCTCTGTCACCCTGTCCACCCTCTTCACCCTGTCCACCCTCTACACCCTGTCCACCCTCTTCAACACCCTGTCCACCCTCTTCACCCTCACCCTGTCCACCCTCTTCACCCTCTTCACCCTCTTCACCCTGTCCTGTGTCCTGTGCCCTCTGACCTGTGTCCTGTGCCCAGGTGCCCACGGCCAGTGTGACGGTGGAGGGAGCGTCCGCCCTGAACCGCGTGCGCTGGTCGTCCGGAGGGAAGGAGGTGGCGGTGGGCGACTCAGAGGGCAGAGTGTGGGTCTACGACACTGGAGAGGTGAGTGCCCGTCCCTGTGCACACCGAGGAAGAAGAGGAAGAGGAGGAGGAGGGGGTTTGGTGGATCTGCTGTACGTAAACGTCTCTTCTTCTCTTGCAGTTGTCTGTGCCTCACACCGACGACTGGGCTCGCTTCGCCCGCACCCTGATGGAGATCAGGGCGAGCCACGCCGACGGGGAGGAGGAGGGCCCGATGGAGCTGTCCCCATAACGTTCACAGCACCCACGGGCCCCCAGCACCCAAAACCTCCCAGCACCCAAAACCTCCCAGCACCTAAGGATCCCAACAGCCAAAATCAACAGCACCGAAAGCCCCACAGCTCCCAAAACCCCCCCAGCAGCACCCACAGACCCCCAGCACCCACAGACCCCCAGCACCCAGAGTCCTTCAGGGCGCCTGTAGCATGGACTTTCTGTTGTTCTTGTTCCGCTGCGTTAAAACTCCGTCTGGACACTCGGACGTTTGAAGTGTCCCAGTTTCTGCCCTCGACGTTCGTCCCGTATCCTGACGACCTGCACCTGTCCAAACATCTGCAGAGTCTGTGTTCTGTGAAGATTTCTCTGTTACTTTTGTTTATTTAAAGCTGCACTGTGTAACTTTTTGGATGGGGGTCCATCACCTGCTTTATTCTGTGGATCGCTCTGCCTGGAATGTTCCACAGTGTGACATTAAACAGTTCTACTTTACATTTATGCAATTACAGACGGTTTTATAGCTCAAAAATGCCTAGAAAATCTGGGCTTTTTGACTGTGAGTGGGGTCGCCTCTCCACAGATCTGACCTGTAACTTGGTCTGGTTTGGTGACCATGAAGATAGAAAGGTTTAATGTCATAGTGTGGAACATTCCAGACAAAGAAATAACATCTCCATGAAGAAAAGCATTTGACGGAAAAGTTCCTCCACAAGAAAAGTTACACAGTGCACTGAGATTAATATTCTCGTGAAAAAACTGCATTTGTTTTTGGTGTAGAGATGTTTGTAAAACTGCCTGTCACATGGAGATTCTATCGCCTGGATCGTTTGTTGCTTGAACCTGAGTTGGACTAAAGTTTCTCTGGTTTCGATATATCTTCTCCAGAGTTTTTTCTTCACAGTCCAGTCCAAAACTCAGACCGCACCTAAAACTTTCTCTCAGATCACAGCGCGGCGGAGGAGAGAACTTCACAGTGAGAAGGTTCCAGGTTTGTTCCTCGAGTCCTCCAGGTCTTTCTGTGCTCAGTTTGCATGTTCTGCCCGTGTCTGGTGGGTTTGCTCCTGTTTCCCATCAACACAAAACATTCACCACAGCTCCCGCTCTGGATCTGGGTGCCAGGAGGTGCCCGCTGCTCCTGATGATGTGCCCCAGGAAACACTGAAGGACGTGAACCTGAATCTGAACCTGAACCTGAAGCTTTTGTGGTGATTTTTCCCATTAAAAGATCATAAATTGTTCCTCAGTTCCGGCCGCCTGTGGACTCGTCCTCGATCTTGGTGCGACAGGGTTGGTGACTCGGCATCTCCAGCGTCGGTGTCAGTGTCTGTTTAAGTTTTGGTAAACTCACTGTGAACCTGAACCCCTCAGTGCCCCTGATGATTCTGAATATCTGCTGATACCTGCCCCCTGAAGCAAGAAATCTGGAGTTTAATCAAACGCTCGGCTCGTGTTTCCTGTAGAAGCTCGGCCACAACAGACGCGACATATTTACGTCTGTGTTTCTTGCTGATACTTTATGTACACGAACAAACTTCTGCTTTTCTGGGTAAATGTTTCAGTCCAAGGTAAAGGAGAAATTCAATTCAACTGGACAAAAGTGTTTTCTGTTTTTTGTTGTTGTTGAATACGTTTCTCTCAGTCAGACGCTGTTGGACACTGACTTATATCTGCCTGAAGGGGGCGCTCACTACACTGAAACTAACACGCCTACTTGATTACAATAAATAAGTAGATGTTTTACGCTGCGTTTTATTTTTCTCTGCGAACCCACTCGGATCTCGGATGTGACGCCACAACCAGACTTCAAGAGTTTTATTATGTTTCGCGTGTCCAACTTGGAGAAAAACGTGGACGTCGCCTGGAAAACTGTTGTTGTGGTACCAGCAGTAAAAGTTAAATATCGCAGTTGTAATTGTAATTGTCATTTAAACCACCAACGCGTCCAAACACAATGAAAACACTTCATATTTACAGGGCACAGACGTCTTAGCGTATTTTTCAGACTATAAGTCGCACTTAAAACTCCTTAATTTTCTCAAAAATTGACAGAATTATAATCCAATGCACCTTTATGTTTTATTTCTGGTTGTGTTATTGACCTCGAACTGATTTTCACTCATATCCCAGTGAGTCCGACAGAAGCTGAACCACATCAGCAACACAAGGAAAGAGCTGTTGTTTTCAGCGCTTATAGTTTATGCAAATGAGTCATGTGGTTTTAAGTTTTGTGTCATAAAACGTAAACAAATGTGTCAAAGCTGCATCCAACACATTATTACTGGATGCACATTTGAATCGTCCTCGTAGGAAATAAAAAACAAACTTAAATGATCCACCCACATTCACATTCATAAAACGAGTTACGCCACGATCTGCCGATGGATCGTGGACGCCTGGACTCAGGATCAGTCTCATGTGTCGTCCGTTTGTTTCGTTTTATGTGTGAAAATAGACGAGAGAATTCAACATTATTGATATTGCGCTTTATAATCCTAAAAATACGATGCTCAGTCTCCTCTGAGTTCTTCCGAGTGACAAGTTCACCGTCCAAGGAAAAGGGGCGTGTCATCTGGGACGGATAATAAACACACCATTAGTTAAAAACAAAAAAACAAAAAACAAAACAAAACCAACAACAACAACAAAAAAACTGTTTTGTCCATTTGATAAACTGAAGTTTGAAATTCTCCTTTGCCACGAATTCTACCTGGACGACTGAGAGATTTTACTCACATTTCATTCCAAAAGTGACACACAATCAGTGACACACAAACAGACAACACAGAAGGACCTACACACACACAAAACACACACACACACACACAACAATAACACACACACACAACAATACACACACACAGACACACACACACACACACACAACAACACACACACACACACACACACAACAATAACACACACACACACACACACAAACACACACACACACACACAACACACACACACACACACACAAACAATAACACACACACACAAATAATAACACATACAAAAACACACACACACACATAAAAACACACACAAAAACACACACAAACACGCACACACACACAACAATAACACACACACACAAATAATAACACACACAACAATAACACACACACAAACACACACACATAAAAACACACACAAAAACACACACACACAAACAATAACACACACACACAACAATAACACACACACAAACACACACACACACAAACACAATAACACACACACACACACACACACAACAATACACACACACAAAACACAACACACACACAACAACACACACACACACACACAACAATACACACACACACACACATAACACACACACACAAACATAACACACACACACAACAAAATAACACATACAAAAACACACACACACACATAACACAACACACACACAAAACACACACACAACAACACACACACACACACAACAATAACACACACAACACACACACACACACAACAATACACACACACACACACACACAACAATAACACACACACAAACACACACACACACAACAATAACACACACACAGAAACACACACACACACACACAATACACACACACAACACACACACACAACAATAACACACACACACAACAATAACACACACACACACACACACACACACAACACACACACACACACACACACACACACACACACACAAACAATAACACACACACACACACACACACACACACAACAATAACACACACACACAAACAATAACACACACACACAACAATAACACACACACAAACACACACACACAACAATAACACACACGAACAAACAATAACACACACACACAAAAACACACACAAAAAGACACTCAAACACGCACGCGCACATGCACGCACACACACACACAAAAACACACAACAAAAACACAAACACACACACACACACACACACACACACACATGGGGATTGGGTTGTTTTGTTTTAAAAAGCTGCACTGTGTAACTTTTCTGTTGAAGGTTCCTGCTTGTTTCCGTGGAGATGCTGTTTCTTTACACACTTTGGCATTAAACTCATCTGTCTCTACTATAAGTTACAGGTCAGATCTGTGGAGAGGCGATCTGCTCACTGTAACATCGTGTGTGCTGTAAGTGAATAAATGTCAGACTGGTGAGTTTAATGCCGCGCTGTGGAACATTCCAGATCGACTCAACACTTGTCATCTTTGCACTGTTCCTTCTCCTCGTGACATTTTGAAACATTATACTTCAGAATTTCATTTTTAAAGTCTCTGTACCTGATTTTTCCAGCCTTAAAAATGTTAAAAACAGAATGATTTTCTTTTAAACAGTTTTTCTTCTCGTCCGTCGTGTTCAGAACGTCCTGATTACTCACCACAACGAGCCTCATTCATGAAACGTTCTGATGAACAAATTTATCTTAAGTTCTTCTTACGAACAGTTTTGGCATTCATGAAACTTTATCTCAACTGAAAATGTTCTTCTGGAAGAACAAACAGTCAGGACTCACAAGAACAAAACTTCTACTGTTTTAGAAAATTATTACTCTGATAATGTAACAGAAAATTCTAATTCCTCGATGATTCTAAGTGATGTATTATTTCCTGTAAACGTATGACTCTGATCCAGTAACATGTATGAGTTGTTTACAGAGTTTGTGTGTGTTTGGTGTTAAGAGCTCGGCTGCATTATATTCGTATTTACTCTTATGTAGGAAGAGCACTGCGCTATAACATCACCGCGAAAGATTCAGAACTCATGAAAACAGACCTGCTCCCCTGCACACCGCAGGCAAAGGTGAATTGTGAGTAATTAATTTTTACTGAGAAATAAACCCACGCCACATATTCCTGCACATACACACTTCTGTGTGCAATACAACAAGACTCTTTAGACAATCTGTGCGTTAAGATTCAGATCACAATGTTTATATAGTTCAGTCCTTGAGTTTTACCAACTCAAACTGGAAGCAGTGCAGCCTTATATCTTGAACACTTCTACTTCACTCATGGTCCCAATAACTCCTGCAAGAACACTTTCCCATAAAGCATTGCGGCCAACATAATACGCCGCACCCTCTCTCTCTCTCTCTCTCTCTCTCTCTCTCTATCTCTCTCTCTCTCTATATATATATATATATATATATATATATAGTGCGCCATCTACTGGGAAACGCTGGAAATGCATGAAAAATAAAACAACAAGGTTTATTATTGTAATTTAGTTCGGCGGGCCAGATTAAAAGGTTTAAAAGGAGCCACATACGGCCCCTGGGCCGTAGTTTGCCCACCCCTGGTCTAACCTCTGTCACAGCTGTGAG